TGAACATTCAACTATTTAATAAAGAGGAAGTTCTACAAAACTGTGTAACACTATTAACAATTGAACATTCAACTATTTAATAAAGAGGAAGTTCTGGGTCTGGCTCCGGGTTGTAGAAACTTGTCTATGACAATTATGGGCTTTTGTTTATTTTGTAACTTGTAGATGAGGAACACAGACATGAGTAGCAGTACAACTATAATCCGAGCGATGAAACTCAGTGCTGCAATGAATCGGAGCAAGAGAGACTTAGGAATTGAAATTAATTAATAACAAGAAGACAAGTGCATTAGAAATGAAGCTTAGGTTCAGAGATTTTACCTATTAGAGAGAGTACCACATCCCTTAACAGCGCCAACATTACTGTATAGAGAAAATAACAATGTAATTGATGAGACGATCCTCTGCTAATTAAAGTTCATCTTAATAATAATAATAATTAAAAATCTAAATCAGGGTGCTTACCGTTCTTAATTGTTTCTAGTACCCAATTATCATCTGCATGAGACATGAGGCAAGAAGGTTAGAGTTGTATTTATCTATCTATAGGTCTAAATGTACATACATTTACATATGTTATAATGTTCTAATTAATCAAGGTTTAAAATATGTCAACGTATCAGTGTTTGTGTTTTAGCCCTACCAAAACGCTGCTTATAGGGAGTTACTGGGGTGTCCATAACCCCTCCTAACATGTTTAATCCTGAAACATCAGATAATAATAAGTATAAATTTCACATTTCTAGCGTATCAATACTTGGATGATGGTTTTAATGCTCTTTTGATGGTTTTTAATAAGTGTTTTAATTATAAAATTAAATTAGGTCACCAAAAATCATTATACAAGGTAATAAAAAACTGCATCTAAACACCAATTATCCTTTCAGATTTGAAGAACCCATTGAAAAGCTGACACCCATGATTGCCAATTTTTTAAGCAAAAAAATAAATAAACATGTTTATAGGACGACCTGCTCGGTTATGAAGGTACCATAGGATGTAAGTACACCAAGCTTGGAAATGTTGCACCCTAAGACTTACAGCCTAAGGGCACAGTTGTATTGGGGTGCAACATTAGCAGCCTATAGTGCTAATAATATAAAGAATGTTTTAACCAACTACATTACATCAGCAATATTTTAGAAGTTAGGAATTCATCATTATCGTTATCTAAGGGATCCTTTGGGATGTATTTAGTTCAATGGAAGATTTGGTGGGATGGGATGGGTTGTGATGTGAAAGGGTAATTGGGTGGAAATCTTTCACATTCCACTACTTGATTACCTTGTAAAAGGGAACATAGTGAGAAAATCAATTCTAATAATAATAATTAATTAATTAATATTGATAATTAATTAATTAGTTAATAATTACTAATTCACTTTATTAATATTTATTGTGAATCAATTAAAAAATTTTCTTTAGTATTATTAATTATTTTAATAAGTTAGTATTTTATTATTTCATTTAATTAAATTAATAATAAAATAAATAAATAATTATTTTTAATTGGTTAAAATTTTTTATTGATTATTTCTTTTGATTTATTCATTAATTAATTTTTATTAATATATTATTAAATAATCAATAATTAATTTATGGGTCATGGGTCTAATGTTAACTCTTAAATATACCACAATGAAAGTGTTTTTCTATTAAACAACTTTCTTCTCCTTTTCCACTTGTTTTCCACGAAAATGGTGAGATTCCATTTCCCAAAAATTAAGATATGTAATCGTAGGTTTTCCCATCCCATCTCATGGCATACCACATATTAACCAAACATGAATGGGAAAGAATATTCAAGAATATTCTATATTTTTTTCCTTCCCATCTCACAAACCTAACTGAAAGAAAGATTGAGAAAAAAAAGAAGGAAAAATATGAAGCCAAAGATTGAGAAAATGCTTAGACGGTGCAAAAGTACGAACTACGTAGTAGCTAGTGAATAAAGAAAAAAGAGGGGAGAAGAGAAAGTACCACACTGAAAAATCAATGGATCGGTGATTTCACTAAGTGAACAAGATTTGCCCTTCCGAAGACAATTCCGGCACTCAACCGACCATCCCAGATCGAACCCCCTCTGAAGTAGTTTCTGTATGGTCTCATACGAAGGGTTATTTGCATTACTTAAGACTGCAGGAACCACTGAGATGAACGTGCAAGAATTGTAGAGACCAGAATCACCAGATAGCGTTTGCTGATGATCATACAAAACGTAAGCATTTGATGTGTTGGTGGCGAAGCAAGGAAGACTTCTGTACTTGGGATCATCGATGGGTGTTGAGCAATTCACGAAGCTTGCACTCGTACGCCCGATGAGCAAGTCGGCTCTGAATCGACGATCATTCTCAATATCCTGCCGTAACAGAGATTTGTTTGGTAAACTGCAATTGCCGTCTGACAAGTTGATATCGGCGACTCTGATGATATGACGGTCATAGGAGATTTGCTTGACATAGTATCTCCCTGAATTGAGCTCCAAGATGGTGTCATTGTTGTTGTCGCAGGTGAGCTCGTAGTCTGGGTCACCGCAGTTGTTGGGTTCGCCCTTGAGCCGAAATGGGTAGCTGATGTTTCGAACGTTCCCACATGAAGAAGGAGCACATTCCTGTACAACATTTCTTGCTTGAACATCAACATTAATGAAGAAGAGAAGAAAGACCAGTAGTGCTGGCATCAAAGTAGTGGATACTCCTCGGTTGAACATTACTTGGTTTCTCATCTTCTCTTTCCCAAATCACAATTGAATTCTTAAAACAATGAATCTGATTCAAGACAAGTGAGATGATAGAATTTGGATAAGAAGCTCAGAAGGTATATATAGGACCACACCATTTTTTTTACACAAGGGGAAAGCAAGGGTTCTGACTTGAATAAGTTTGCACCATTTGACCAAGCTACATTTTGGCTGGCTACGGTGGTTGGATTTGTTCCATTTGGGTATGTATACAAGCAAGATTAACTTGCGCTAGTTACCAAAACAAAATAATTGCGCATGTGTACGTATTGCAGACAGCTCACGGGGGTTTATGGCTGTTGGGGCCCAACAGCTTAATTTGCCCACTCCCATGTAACGTGCTCAACCCAGAAATCAACAGCCAAAGTCTTTTCAGAGAAGTACGGACAGGTCTGATATAGATTTCTTATTTCTTATTTCCATCGTAAATCTTCAAAAGGTCAAAATCTCACACTGTATACACTCGTATTTATTCATAAATTGGCATCAATGGCACCTACCCCAAATATACCTTGAGTATACAAATTTTCACCCTGGGCTCAACAGTTATTCTCCCAAAGGTTTTTTCTCTCATGGGCACCTACTTTTTGCATATGTGGCAGTTTTTAATTGGATGAATGGATCCTTTTTGATTCAGTGAATTGGATCACAGGTGACAGGTGAATAGGGATCTGCTCCTCACAAGGCATACATCCTATCTTGTATTAGAAACATCTCACATAAATAATAAATATAAACATAAAAGATATTCTTGATGTACGGCCAAAACATACTGTGAGATCCAGATTCGTAACAGGTTCATAAGTTTAGCCTTGAATTTATTCAAGAGATTATATCAGGGGCGTTCCACATGCATATCTGAACGTACATTGGGAACATTTTGGATACTTATAGATGTTTATAATACACGGTTGGAATGTGTGCTGTGGGGCGCTACTCTTTATCCCATGCTTGAGCTCGAATGATAGGTGGAGATAAAAGAACAATTTCCCCTTTGATTGTTTGAGTGGAAAACTAATAGGGTTGGGACAGTGGAAAAGGTCAAATCAACTTTGGCTGCACTCACGTCTCTCTCACTAATGTGCTGGCCCGGGTTTGGGTCGACATGGTTCGGATTTGGACTCAAGAGTCAAGAGTGGCCTCCAGGTCCAGGGGCTTCGCACCACTGAATGGCGAATGCATATGCCGGGCGTGGCCATGTAAAGCGGCTTTGCACATTTGCGCGTATCCTTCCTTGGCTCAAGTTGTCTTTTTGATTGGGCAGGTTTGGTTGGCAAAGCTGTCCAAACTACTGGAAATGGGCCTGGGCCTGGGCCTCCGCTGGGATGCTTATTTCTGAACATTTTACTTCTTGGGGTTTTAATTTTTTGGTAGAATAATCCCGGCCGTTGTGTACGTACCCCCATGGTGTCTGTGCAATTACAACCGTATCTCTATTAAAATCATTGATTTAGTTTTGTTAATTAGAAATTATAATACATTAAATAAAAGAATAATAGGAAGATGTAAGGGAGGAGGATTGCATGACGTTGGCAGCCGATACTAGAACTTTTTGTTGAACTCTTATGATCATGAATAGTGATATGCCCAACAATGTCCTTCTTTCTGTTAATTTGCTCAACCATGTGTAATTGTCAATCTCTTATGATCAAATATCCCGCTCTATATATTCCTTTCTTTTCATATGCAAGCCCATCAAATCTGGTAAGAGTACTGTTGATTAAACCTGGAATGGTAGTGACTGGTGAGTGGAAAGAAGAAGGGGGAGAAATTAAAGGAAGTCCGCTGAAGCACCCCCAGAGAGGGGCTGTCTACATACCCTCCTATAAGGAGGATTCCTACAGTGAGAGTAGGTAAAGGTTTCCCCAGTTGTCTAATTATAATTTGGGTGTGATTCGGTTCTGGTCCATGCAGCTGCAACTTTAATAACTCAACACAGTTATATATATATATATATATATAGAACAAATTAAAGGAAAGAGAAGGAAATTCCACAGAATTGACCACCTAGCTAGGGGCTAGGATATCCAATGGCAACCCTTAATTATAACTGGCTAGCCCTCTTGAATAACACAAGGCGCAGATATTTCTAGTGTTCTGATCCCCCTCCAAACATCAAATGGTTGATAGTTGGAATTTTGTCCCCTCAACTTTGTGGCCATCCACTGTCCACTTATCTTAAGATAAAAAGGATATTTTGGATGTGAGATGTGATGAGCCTTCTTGTAATATAAATTCCTATCTAGAGGAATCAATGTAACCTGAGCTCGACCAATCCAAGTTCACAAAACTGGAGGAATTTCGGAGCTTTTTTCATACAACTGAATCCTTGTGCTTAAATATTGAAGCAATAATCAGTCCATCGAATCAGATTCCCAATCATTTAGGTGTCACCTCAACCTCAGGGACCAGACCATTTGACCAGATGCCACCTCGTATCGTTCTTCAATAGTGGAGTTTCCTCTTTCTAAAGACTGCCATGTTTGAACGAATCTGGAGAAAACAAAATCAAATCAAACAAGTCTCTCCCCATTCCAGAAATCACCCCAGTGTATGCCACGTCTCACCTCTCCATAAATTAGCTAGGGATGTTAGTGGGTTGGTAAATTTCTACTGACCCGGTCCTATTACTCAGGTCAGCCTTGATTGGGTTTGGGTTGAAATGAATTTGTGATAAGCCTAATTAGTTGACATTGTAGCATTGAAACATTTGTGAATATGCTTGGTGGAATGTACCAACGTGTACAATCATGGGATGGGTTGGACTGGAAAACTGGGAACCGGTTCCATTATCCTCCAAAACCATTTTTTCCCCTAAAATTGTTGATTTTGGTCAGTAAATTGTTGAACCGGCTGGTTAACCATTTGAACTGCTTGAACCGTTCGAATGGTTTTGATCGTTTTTCAAATTTTTAAATTTTTTATTTATTTGTCAAAACGGGCCGGCTGTCAAACCGTTCGAATCGATAACCAGACCCTTGACCGGTTCGTTTTTAAAAACCATAGAATAAAGTTAGAGTTATTTTTGATGAAATTCAGATTGGGTCAAATCCATACCAAACTTGCAAGGTGCCAGCCAACTGATTAAGAAGGTCTCATGCTGATTGTAGTGGAGACTTGGGATCAAATCCCGCCAGAACTTAAGTTGGGATGTTATGTGTTGGGGATGGACTACCCCCATTGTGTAGCCCTTTCAAACGATACTGAAAAAAACAAAAAAGTCCCTACCAAACTTAATTGGGTTAGGGTTAAAGTTATTTCCTCAAAACGTAATTGGCTTGTAGTGATTTTCAAATATTTGCAAGATGAGATTCGAGTTCTAATATTTAAAGACTATAAAATGAGATTGGACACTTGACGACAATAGGGTGTTAGACACTAGAGTTTCATATATATATATATAGGGCAGAGTGACTGAAGTCGTTGGAAGGCGTGCATCTAGTCTGTTGTTTTGCAGGTTCTACCAAATTATTGGGACAAAGTATTAAGCAATCAAGAAACATTATATTCAAAATGAATGTGGATAATCATAATATGCTGAGATGGTGAGTGACGAAAACTAGAAATGATAAAATTAGAAATAAGTTCATCAGATTAATTAGTTTGTGTTTTTATGATGCTGGTTGATTGATTGTAAGTTTTTTCAGTATCATATCTTTCTAGCATTATGGTCGAACCTTAAAAATTGATTGAGATAATATGATCAAGTGCATATATCATCAACAACAACTGCACCAGAAATAAAGAATAGCTTGGTGCAAGTAGAAAGCTATAAAAAACAATGGAAATATGAATAATGAACCGCATGCATGTTGGTGAACAAAGCCATATATATTGGTGAACGCCTCCTAACATGCAGTAGTAATTGGAGGCTGTTTACAAAATAGGTAAAGAAATAAAGAAGAGAACTGTGGATGGCTTTAAAAGCCACACAACTGGAATCTGTTTCTTTGGTTAAAAAGATCAGAAAATTGTTTAGATTTATATATCTAATTGCTCATTAAACTTTGTTTCCTTGGAACACATGAAAGCATTAAAGAGTAAAAGTATCTTGACTGCTTTGAACCAACAGAAATACAGAAATTATAATATATTTAACACTACTATGGTGTTGTTAGTACCATGCAGAGTTATGTGGAAGATGTGTTATGACTATTCAAAGTTTCTTTTTGAGTCTGCGTTGGAGTTGCTGTATTGTTGAATTTGATGAAAGATGAGGATCTGAAATTAATTAGTTAGCAACATGTGACAGGATCTGAAATTAATAAGCTAATACTCTTGGACTTAGCTAGTTTTTCGCATGCGATGTATTGTGCCATGTCCAGACCTGCAGCCACCTGCAATAGATTGCCCTAAATTCTGGACAGAGGGCCCTTAAGGCCATGTTTGGCTTGATAGAAAATAAGAGACAATGAGAAAATTGATTTACAAAATTACTTAACAACTTTCTCTCAACTTTTTATTTTACGTGTCATCTTCAAAATGTGTCTCATATCAATATGGGGTTCTGACTCCAGACCCACTCTAACTAGGTAGAGTGGTACAATGTTAGCTTAATAATAGCCTTTTGGGTGTGATTGTTCTTGTCCATGCTTCAATTCTGATAAGCTTTTGTAAGGGTGCATGTTAAAAAATAAAAATTCATTCAGAAAGTTCATCTAACAGCTTAAGCTTTTAAGTTCAACTGTTCCTTAAGAGTGGGTTCAATTTTGCAATTCAATTGCTATTAAATATTATTAGTTCTCTTCTTTTCTTCATTTTCCTTCGTTTTATTTTACAATTTAAAAAATTCAACCCAGGAATGCTCCCCTAATGAGTGACCTTGTAATGACGCTAATCGAAGACAAGAAAACTATAAACTCAGGCTTTTCAAAGACCTCAAATGACATTGAATTTGAAATGTAGTTGCCATGTTCGTATAATAATTTGGTTCTAACTTCAAAACCAGATGGAACCGATTAACTAAGCTACAAAGTCAATGTTAGCTATGTCATTTGTCTTGATCATAGCTTAGTGTCATTTTGTTTGCAGATTTCTGCAATAGCAATGCTTCTTTGCAAGTCAAATAGTTTGGTTATACCTGTTCGGATGGTGTCCTAGCTGGTCGAAGTTTTCACGTGGTTGCTTCTGTGGCCGATGTCTTTGGACCACGTTA